AAAACAAGTTAAAAATTTAATTTGTGTGTCAAATTAGTGGTTTCTGTCATTATTAAAATAAATTTGAGTAGGTATTTTAAAATGGAGATTAAAATTAGCAAAATATTCTTATTAACTATCTGGTAAAAAAAATTGATCCTGCCATTGTAATTGAGAGATTGTAGTTCTGCATCTAATAATTGTGCCTCTTCAATATTTTGTATTCCTTGTATAAGTTCAAATTCCTCTGTATCGTCAATTTTATAAAAAATGTACACTTGTAAATATAATAACTTAGTAAAATTAATAACTAATACTTATAAAAAACAAAAACGTGAAATAATTATATATTAATAATTATTATTATTATTAATAATAATGATTGGGTAATTATACGAAATTCAATAAAAATATAAAGATAGGAATAATAATAATGATATTTTATTTTAGTTCTATGTTACAGTGATAACTTGATAAGTAACATGCTTGGATACCCATAGTTACCGCATGCGAGTTAAGGTTGTCGAATTGTCAAGACCGTTCGTTGCATGCTATACGGCAAAGGCTTTGAAGAATACCATTTTTCTACTCGCATGCGGTGACGCATCCCATACAGCACAAACCCATTTCGGAAATATTTCAATAATATTACATTGAAACATTTGTAATGTTGTATAAATATTACGAAACATCCCAGAAACATTTCTGAAATGTGCCTGAAACGTAAAAATGTCCTGTAAATATAATATTTCACAGTAATATTTCTGAAATAAAAATTTGAAATCTTTTAGAAATATTAAATAGTAATATTTCAGAAATGTATTCTAGCTTTTTTTTCTAAAATATTATAAGACTAAAAAAAAGACATTTATAAATATACATGTTTATTTAAAATACATAAAACTCAAAAACATTGATTCTTAAACAAACAAATAAATAATTTTTAAACATAAAATATAAAGACGAATCGCTTCATTTCCACAAATTCCTTTAAATGCACTAATCAAATAGTATTTTTTAATAAATGCCATAAGTAAAGGAACATTTACGATTATTACAATCTGATCATTAAGATCAATTAGCAATTTTATTCTAATCTAACTTATCAAGGAATGAAAAAGTTCATAAACTAATATTCTACTCACTAGTATACCTTAGAGTCTAAATACTACCGTTAACGTATAACACTTTACTGCACTACTGCAGTCACTATTAGTCATTATTAAAAAGAAATAATAAGTTCCGATGTTTCCTCCTGCCCAAATAATGCGCCAAACTATCATTTTTTGAGGATGCATTGGAAGCTCGTGCACGGCATTTGGATGCTCTTTCCCCAAATCAGACAGTTCTGATTATTCACAAAGCCGTTCAAATGGAAGTGCGCCTCATCACTAAAGATAATTTTGTTGTGGAATCCATCGTCAACTCCGTGTTGTCCCAATATCCAATTCGCAAAGTTTCTGCGCTGTCTATGATCAGCTGGCTTCAGCTCTTGCATCAACTGTATTTTGTAAGGAAGAAGGTACAAATCGTTTGTCAAAATTCTTTGTAATTTACTGCGACTGATTTAATTCCTGGCCGCGATGTCGGATAGAAGTGTTTGAATGTTTGTTAACACTGGCTCTCACGGCGGCGATGTCTTAAGCAGACCTTTCAGGATAACGACGTCTAACACTTGTCTCGTCTTTCAATGCAAATGTCCACTTAAATGTGTTGATCAAATTTTCAATAGTGGGCCGCGACGAACGATTATGTACACCAAAATGTTCAGGTAACCTGCACATTGTCACTGAAAAATTTTCTTAATTTCTGTAATGGGTCTTCACAATTAATAAACGTTATTCAAGAATGTAACGCGGCATTTTCGTAAATGTCAATGTTTTGGCAGAACACATGCCTAATATGGCCAACTTGATGTTTGACAGATGGAAATGGCACGCGATTCAAAATTCAAGTTCTTATTGGGACACCCTTTATATATTTGAGACAGTTATCGCGTCTACTAACAAGCGACCAATTTTCTAGTTTCTAAATAAATATGGAGCAAGTCGCAGCTTCCTAATATATGTCTGTCGTCAGTGCGTTAACTATCATTTAACTTTCATGTTGTTAACGACGTTTTACTAGCCGTATGTACGTGAAGACGGTTTTTGTTGGTCGTTGCGACCTCTTGATGTTGAGAAAAGAATGGTTTTATATGATAGTTACAACATGAGTCGCAGATGAATAATATAAGAGTAGCTTTCTTTGTATGTCGAACAATATGTTTTTCTATGGCTATAACACGCAGCTACCCATTTTTAATTAATTTTTATAATTTATAAAAGTAAACTGAGCTCTTCATTTAATGTTTGACATTTAATCGCCCACTAACTTTATTAAAATAATTGGGGAATAGGGAAATACTACTGTGTGTCATCAGATAAAGGAGGTAATACGGACATGATTACTTTATATATGTTATTGGAATTATCAATCAAGAAAATACCTTATTTCTTAATAAAGAATATTTGAGAAAGTGTAGTTTGTATTATAAAACCTTAAACAAATATTTTTAGCAGTTTTCTTTGAAATATGAAAATTTAGATCTAAAATGTATAAAGCCAATTTCCAGCTGACAATAAAATTATATCAACTGTTATTGTCAAAAATTAATGTCCACGGACTAACATCAACTAAATGAAATGTATTGAAATTAGTTTACTACCCTAGAATATAGGGTCCTTAAAACAGTAAATACAATAAGAACCTAAATAAACATTTATATTAAGGTAGATATAATTATAATTCTATATGGAATTTAATGGATAGACTGGACTAAACTGTTATAATAAGCTTCCCGAAATCAGGTCATTAGATTAATGTGTATTTGTCTCGCTTCTCTTTTGCGGATAAAATCATCCTTTTCAGCAAAATCGCACACATCGATGGTCAGCCGATACGGAGCCATATTATATACGGGTTGTAACAAAAGTGTTGCAAATCGTCAGGAAGGTATACATGACATATACTTTTTGTAAATTGTCTATATATTTTTTATATTTAATAAATAAAAGTTTTCTTCAAGTCGTTCCCCTTACTCTTACTCTATCAGGACCGGTCCTAGACATTTTGGCGCTCCGGGCAAAACCTTAATTTTGGCAACGTCAAAGAAGGGTCTACAGCAAGCGTCTATAGAAGAGTCAGATATAAATAATTAAAATAAATAATTTTAGAAATGAAATTTCCATTTTCAATAGGCGATACAGATATTTTTTAAATTAAATAACACCGACAAGTACCTACCTATAATCTTGATAACTAATTTTAGATTTAAAAAATAATTTTTAGCATCAAAATAAATTTACGGAAATATCATATTTTCTTATTTAAATGTAATATTATTTTAATAAGCGCCTAGTGTTTTATAATTGTACCTATAATCCTCAGTTAAACAACATTTACAAATTAGACAGCAATTTAGAGTGGTTGTTTTGTATCTACCTATAACAGCAAAATAAGGAAATGATTTGACCTAATTATTCTCATAAAACTCAAGTAAATTGTTTCTTAGTACCTACAATAAGTTATTAATTAGTAATTAATGAACTAGTAATTAAAATCTGATGGTAAGTAGGAGAGAATAATTGTTGTTTACTTTCTACAATGGTTTATAGGGATTAAAATATTTTAAATAAATATAAGGGCAATGTACTACAAAGTCAGTATAGTTACGAACGTGACAATAAGATTTTGTGCTGATTTTTCTGATTTGTAGTGTGTAATTTATTGTTTGGTGTGAAGATGGGTAGAAGTGGTTTGACTAAAGGAAAAAATGTGCATTTGAGTAATGCAAGAAAAAGTCGTCGAAATATAATGAAAAAGTAAGTGAGAGAGTTAAATAATAAATTAGGGATGGACGTGAATCCAACCAAAATTTCTTATTTCGAATCGAATCAGGCATTTTCTTATACCAATCCATCCCTAAGTCAAAGAGACAAACAAAAATAATTTTTTAATATTATATTTTTACCATAGATATCATGAAGCTCTGAGATTTTCGGAAAAAAGTGTCCTTTGACCGAAATACAAAATATCGAGGAAACAAGCGACAGGTAAACATATTTATTTTTCATTCTATTAAACAAAAAATCTATTATTTACCCTTCAATAAACTTTAAAAAATGGTAGGAGACGAACATTTTTACTTTAATCAAGACAGTTTATTACATAAAAAAATCTTTAAATGAAGATAATTTCCTGACTGTAGTAAAATTTTATATATATATAATTTTTTTTCCATATTTTGGTGTATTTGAAATAAAATATTGATATAATTTAACACGAAACATATGTTGTGCTTAATAACTTAATAAAAAATTTGACCGAATAAACCAATGAAAATTTTTTTATTTATATAAAATAAAAAATTATGTTTCTCCTTTAATAATATTAATAAAAATATGGAAAATTCGTTCCTTATATAAAACACTGATTATTGGAATCCGCAGTTTATAAACCTCTAGACAAAATTAAGAATTTAAATTGTTAATTTTGACCAGCGACAAATATTCTGTATTCGGGTAGATTCTTCGCAGAACGTTTGCATTACTATTTTAATTTTTTAATTATTACATTTATTTCAGTATTCCTCATGATATTGAACATAAAATAAATCCGGTAGGTACTAGCTGATGAACATCCTCGTAGTTTAAATGATACTGTTATAGTTCAGTTCGAACCGCAACCCGGGTGTAGTCGGAATTATGAGACCAGTGATAAAGAAATAAATGTTCCTTTGTAGCAAAAGACAATCTCCGATGATTTTGTTCTCACTGGAAGAAGAATAGTAGACATCCTTTTCCTTTTCAAACAAATTGTTGATGGAGAAACACACGGACTGTTTGGATGTGATATCACAGATATGGAGGTTATCAATGAAGTGAGAAAGGGGTTTATGTCAACATTTACTTTAAAATGTAAAATGTAAAATATGTGGCATAACTAAACAAATTTATTCGGAAGATCCGAAAATTTCTCAGGAACCACTGATTCAGTAGATATTAATTCGGCACTGACTTTGGGAGCAGTTTCAACTGGTATCGGTTACTCAACCTTAGCCGAAATAGCAGCTGCAATAAATATGCCAATGATTGCGGAGAAAACGTACGTACACTATTACGAAAAAGTGGCTGATGCAATTTACTCGGCAGTCACGCAAGTAATGAAAGAAGCTGGAAGAGAGGAAGCAAAGTTGGCCAAAAGCTTAGGAGAAGTAGATGGAAATGGGATTCCATTTATAACTGTGGTAGCAGATGGAGCATGGTCAAAACGATTATATAACGTCAACTATAATGCTTCTTCTGGCGTTTGCAAATTCGTTGGAGGAAAAAGAATTAACTTTTCGAAAAGGAATTTCTATCAGACCAGATGTGAAGCTGCGATAATATCATTCAACAAGGGAGCAGAATATTATGACATACTCCATAAGGCAATAACAGGAAATGAGCTCAATACATACACAAAGAAATATTTAAAAATAATTGGAAAAAGGAAACTTAAGATTTGCGAAACTAACGAAAGAAAGGAGCGTCGACAAGAGCTGCGATTGAAAAAAAAATACGCTTTTCCAGATAGGGACTATGGTAATATCCATGAACCTATTCCTGATATGGATGAAAATAAGTATAATTTAAGAGAACTGGAATTCTTAAATATGTTAAATAAAACGCAAGAAGAAATTGATGCAATAGAGGATCTTACCAAGGAACAGGCCTCTTCCATTCTGTGGTTGGAAGAGAGACAAAAAAGGATAACCAAATCAAATTTTGGAAAAATTTGTAAACTAAAAGCACTACCAGCATCAACTCAATTAAAGTATTATTATACAACAAATTTAAAGACAACAACGCGACACAATATGGGAAATTAAACGAGCCGTTTGCAGTCGAAAATTTTGAGGCAATCTCCAAACACAAAGTAAAAAAATGTGGGCTATTCATCGATAAAGAATATTGTTTTTTGGGTGCTAGTCCAGATGGATTGGTGGATGACAACGCCATTTTAGAAATAAAGTGTCCTTCGAATATTAGGGACATGAGTCCAGAAGAGGGCATACGAATAAAAAAAAATGTGCCGAACTTGAAAATTATTTCTTCACACTCAATAGAAGACCTAAATATTACTTCCAGGTCCAAGGGCAATTAGCAATAACAAAAAAAGAAAACAGGTTGCTTAATTGAAGAGGTAACTAGGTATTAATTAACTTTTTTTTAACTTTATTAATGTCCTTTTTTACTTTCCTATCTGTATACAGATATAAGGAAAGCATAGGAATCATGATTTTTTTCGACCTCGAGTTTTCGACGGATTTTTACGTTTTGAGGTCCCCTGAATCCGTTTTGACTATTTTCGCGATGATGTCTGTGTGTGTGTGTGTGTGTGTGTGTGTGTGTGTGTGTGTGTGTGTGTGTGTGTGTGTGTGTGTGTGTGTGTGTGTGTGTGTGTGTGTGTGTGTGTGTGTGTGTGTGTGTGTGTGTGTGTGTGTGTGTGTGTGTGTGTGTGTGTGTGTGTGTGTGTGTGTGTGTGTGTGTGTGTGTGTGTGTGTGTGTGTGTGTGTGTGTGTGTGTGTGTGTGTGTGTGTGTGTGTGTGTGTGTGTGTGTGTGTGTGTGTGTGTGTGTGTGTGTGTGTGTGTGTGTGTGTGTGTGTGTGTGTGTGTGTGTGTGTGTGTGTGTGTGTGTGTGTGTGTGTGTGTGTGTGTGTGTGTGTGTGTGTGTGTGTGTGTGTGTGTGTGTGTGTGTGTGTGTGTGTGTGTGTGTGTGTGTGTGTGTGTGTGTGTGTGTGTGTGTGTGTGTGTGTGTGTGTGTGTGTGTGTGTGTGTGTGTGTGTGTGTGTGTGTGTGTGTGTGTGTGTGTGTGTGTGTGTGTGTGTGTGTGTGTGTGTGTGTGTGTGTGTGTGTGTGTGTGTGTGTGTGTGTGTGTGTGTGTGTGTGTGTGTGTGTGTGTGTGTGTGTGTGTGTGTGTGTGTGTGTGTGTGTGTGTGTGTGTGTGTGTGTGTGTGTGTGTGTGTGTGTGTGTGTGTGTGTGTGTGTGTGTGTGTGTGTGTGTGTGTGTGTGTGTGTGTGTGTGTGTGTGTGTGTGTGTGTGTGTGTGTGTGTGTGTGTGTGTGTGTGTGTGTGTGTGTGTGTGTGTGTGTGTGTGTGTGTGTGTGTGTGTGTGTGTGTGTGTGTGTGTGTGTGTGTGTGTGTGTGTGTGTGTGTGTGTGTGTGTGTGTGTGTGTGTGTGTGTGTGTGTGTGTGTGTGTGTGTGTGTGTGTGTGTGTGTGTGTGTGTGTGTGTGTGTGTGTGTGTGTGTGTGTGTGTGTGTGTGTGTGTGTGTGTGTGTGTGTGTGTGTGTGTGTGTGTGTGTGTGTGTGTGTGTGTGTGTGTGTGTGTGTGTGTGTGTGTGTGTGTGTGTGTGTGTGTGTGTGTGTGTGTGTGTGTGTGTGTGTGTGTGTGTGTGTGTGTGTGTGTGTGTGTGTGTGTGTGTGTGTGTGTGTGTGTGTGTGTGTGTGTGTGTGTGTGTGTGTGTGTGTGTGTGTGTGTCTGTAGGTCGCATAACTCGTGAACCGATACACAGAAAAACACCAAATTTTAAACTTAAGCTTTGTTTCAGCATCCAATGAGCTGATTAGATTTTGGGCAGAGTCGGAACATCTGGGGGGGTACTTTATAGGTGGTCATTTTTATATTTTATGGAATATATCTGTTATTTACGTTTGGAGAAGAAATTTCTTCAAATAAAAGTTACTTCTTATATAATTATCTATAATTTTTGTTTAATGCAAAATTTTCCTAAAATGGTCCGTATTCGATAAATTTGACAAAATGTAAAAAAAATAATTTTTTATAAAAATTGTTCAAATAAAAGTTGTTTGTAATATAATTCTCTATAATTTTTATCCTTTAAATAATTTCTCTAAAATAGACCGTATTCGAGATATTTGAGAAAATGTGTTAATTTCGAATTTTGAAGAAAACTCAAAAACGGATAAAGGAAAAAACATTAAATTTTAAACTTAAGTTTTATTTCGACCTGAGGTGAACTGATTAGATTTTGGACAGAGTCGGAACATTTGGGGGGGTACTTTATTAGTGGTCATTTATTTTATGGAATATATTCGTTATTTACGTTTGGGGAAGAAAATTCTTTAAATAAAAGTTACTTACAATATTATTATCTATAATTTTTGTTCTATGTCAAATTTTCCTGAAATGGTCCGTATTCGAGAAATTTGACAAAATGTGCAAAATTCTGATTTTTAAGAAAATTGTTAATCTAAAAGTTGTTTGCGATATCGATCTCTATAATTTTTGTTTTTAAATGACTTTTCTAAAATGGACCGTAATGGAAAAATTGGAGGAAAAGTGCTAAATTAAAATTTTTCAGTATTTTCGTTTTCAATGAATATCTATAGAAAAATGTTTCGAGGTAGATGTATGTGGAAAGTGTATATATTTAGTTTATCCTCCTCTAAACTTTTATAGAGGTGCTACAATAAGTTGTACAAAATAACCGGAAAAAGCCTGTAATAAATAGATAGGAAAGTCATGTGTTGGACACATCAGATTTTTTTTTTTGTTATTTATGCGTTGTGCTCTTGTTATATGGGAGGCAGAATATGTCTTTAGAAATTGAGTCCTACACTAGTAATATTTATTAGTTCTACAACCGATTGAAAAGGGAAGCTTCATGTTTAATTTAAGCATGGGTATTTGTATAAATTCTTTTTAATTACCTATAATTTGTTTTAGATTAGTGCATTTTAAGGAATTCGTGAAAATGAAGCGATTTGCCAGAATTGGGGATATGCCAGTAAAAGTACCATCCAATACTGATCTTCATAGGAACCTTGAAATGGAGATTGTTGAAAATACAATAGAAAGATTTACCAGTAGTCACCAACAACGAGTGCTCCAAAATGGAAACTTTGAGATTACCAATCTCCTCAACAATGGCTGCGTTCATCCACGCCACATGCTACCTGATCGATCTGGTAGCGCTCTCGAGTGGCACGTATGAACGATGTATTTTGACATTTCGCTCAAGGAGCAGCCGCCATTAAAAGTAGCGCATTTTATTTACGTCTGATCGGTGATCACTGATCTGTCTTACGCACTTACGTCCACGGTTTGCTTGGTGACTAGTAGGGTTATATTAGCATATTAGCAATTGAAAAATAAACAAACAAATCTTCAACCAGAGACATTCAACTCAAAAGTAAAATTAATAAACCAAAATCAAATGTCACTTTTAAACATGGTTCATCCGTGCATAAAGATCGATCAGGTAGCGTAAGTGATCGCTACTTTTGTAGCGCTCCTTGAAATGGCGCGGATGAACGCAGCCATTGCCAATCTAATAAGAAGACTCAAGAGAACTAAGTCTCATGAGTTAGTTCAGTGATGTTAGAATAGAGCAGAGTATAGTGCTGTTAAGTGTTATACATTAACGGTAGTGTCACAGAATTTTTCTGTGGTAGTGTAACAAAATAATAATTAGACTCTAAGGTATACTAGTGAGTAGAATCTTAGTTCATGAAGTTTTTCATCACTAGATAAGTTATGTTAGAATAAAATTGCTAATTGATCTTAATGATCAGATTGTAATAATCGTAAAAGTTTCTTTACTTGGAACATTTATAAAAAAAATCTATATGTTGCAGATTAGTGCTTTTAAAGGAATTGGTGGAAATGAAGCGATTCGCTTTTATATTTTATGAAATGCATAAACATTATTTAGGTATTTATTTGTTTAAGAATCTATGTTTAAGTTTTGTGAATTTTAAATAAAGATTTATATTTTTAAATGTATCTTTTTAGTCTAATAATATTTTAGAAAAAAACTAAAATACATTTCTGAAATATTGCTATTTAATATTTCTAAAAGATTTCAAATTTTCATTTCAGAAATACTACTGTGAAATATTATATTTACAGGACATTTTTATGTTTCAGGCACATTTCAGAAATGTTTCTGGGATGTTTTGTAATATTTATACGACATTACAAATGTTTCAATGAAACATTTTCGAAATATTTCCTAAATGTGTTTGTGCTGAATGGGTAGAGAGGATTTAAGGTGCGATTTGGCTCTAAAGAAATTTCCCAAAAATAGGTACCTTTATATTCCTTATCAGACGGTTCCTGTTTGATGGGAATTTGACTGTCGGATAAACTAGTTACAGGTAAAATTGTAGATCCAGGGTGCTCCACTCGAATCGTTGAATTGGAAATTTTAGTATATATGGAATTTGAATAAAAGCAACCAGCATGCTGATAGCCGTTCGAATATAGTCCATCTAAATTTGTACTAGAGGTATAAGTCGAGGGGTATCCATGGGATTTGGTACTTTGTAGATTATCTGTGGGATTTGTTTCTGTTTTCAAACCTGTAAAAAATGTCTGTAATTATTATAGTATTGAAGTAGGTAACTAAGACTTAGATTAATAGGTCTGGCGTCTACCGAAAAGTATATTAGTGATCACCCCATGTAAGACAAAGTCATTATGTTCATAGTACATAAATATACATATTATCTTACTAGTAACATAATATATATATATATATATATATATATATATATATATATATATATATATATATATATATATATATATATATATATACAGGTAAAACGACGAAGTCACACCAAAAACTATTTAATCGTTCTCGCACCCGGAATTTTTGGCACTTAATTTGACTAAATGGCTCCTTATATATGGTTTATACATATATACATTCTAGCACCCTATATATGTATATATAATTAGTACATATATACCTTCTGGCTCCATATATATCATATTAAATAAAAGTTGACGAAAAACAAATTTGTTAGCTTGAGAATGAGTAGAACTTGATGGTGTAACGTTTGCTTTTAACACGTTGGCT